CTCCAGCACCACAATTCAAAAGCATCAATTCTTCTGTAGTCAGCCTTCTTTATGGTCCAGCTCTCACTTCCATACATCGCTACTGGAAAAACCATAGCTTTCACTATGCAGACCTTTGTTGGCAAGGTGATGTCTCTGCTTTTTATCGCTTTCCTCCCAAGAAGCAGGCATTTTTTAATTTCATGGCTGCTGTCACTATCTGCAGTGATCATGGAGCCAAAGAAAGTAAAATCTGTCACTGGCTCCATATCTTCCCCTTCTATTTGCCAGGAGGTGATGGGACCCGTGGCCATGACCTTAGTTTTTTTGATGTTGAGCTTCAGACTGTTTTTTGCACTTTCCTCTTTCACCCTCATTACAAGGTTCCTTAATTCCTCCTCATTTTCTGCCATCAGAGTGGTATCATCTGCATATTGGAGGTTGTTGATATTTCCTCTGGCAATCTTAATTCCAGCTTCAGATTCCTCCAGCCCAGCCTTTCGCATGATGTGATTCAGCATATAAGTAAAATAAGCCAGGGGACAATATACAGTCTTGTCGTACTCCTTTCTCAATTTTGAACCAAACAGTTGTTCCATATCCAGCTCTAACTGTTGCTTCCTGTCCCACGTATAGGTTTCTTAGGAGACAGATAAGGTGGTCAGGCACGCCCATTTCTTTAAGGACTTGCCATCGTTTGCTGTGGTCCACACAGTCAAAGGCTTTTGCATAGTCAATGACGCAGAAGTAGATGTTTTGCCCATCTGGTGATTTCCATGTGTAGAGTCGCCTCTTGTGTTGTTGGAAAATAGTGTTTGTGATGATCAGGTTGTTCTCTTGACAAAACTCTATTAGCCTTTGCCCTGCATCCTTCTGAACTCCAAAGGCAAACTTCCCTATTGTTTCTCTTATCGCTTGACTCCCTAATTTTGCATTCCAATCCCCTAGAATGAGAAGAACATCTTTCTTTGGTGTCAGTTCTAGAAAGTGTTGTAAGTCTTCATAGAATTGGTCAATTTCAGCCTCTTCAGCATTGGTGGTTGGTGCATAAACTTGGATTATTGTGATACTGAAAGGTCTGCCTTGGATTCCTATTGAAATCATTCTATCATTTTGAAATTATATCCCATTACAGCTTTTCCCAATCTTTTGTTGACTATGATGGCTACTACATTCCTTCTACGGGCTTCTTGCCCGCAATAGTAGATATTTTTATTTATTTTTTATTTTATTTATTATACTTATATCCCGCCCATCTAGTTTTTGACTACTCTGGGCAGCTCACAACAAATGGAATAAAAACAATAAAAATACAACAACAATTTACAACAATAAACAATCATTCACGATGGGAGGGGGAAAAAAGATCAAGTGAAGGCCTGTCTAAATAGCCAGGTTTTAAGTTGCGATTTGAGTTGGACTCATGGAGAAAGAAAAATTGAATTCGTCCATTCCTGTCCATTTTAGTTCACTGATGCCCAAGATGTCAATATTTGCCTTGTCGTGGCGAAGGGGCTTGAGTAATTCAGAGAAGCTATGGGCTATGCCATGCAGGGGCACCCAAGACTGATAGATCATAGTGGAGAGTTCAGACTAAATGCAATCCACCTGGAGTAGGAATTGGCAAGCCACTCCAGTATCTTTGCCAAGAAAACCCCATGAACAGAAACAAAAGGCTAAAAGATATGATGCTAGAAGATGGATTCCTCAGGTCTGAAGGCGTCCAACATGCTACTGAGGAAGAGTGGATGACAAGTACAAGTAGCTCCAGAGATAATGAAGTGGTTGGGCCAAATCCGAAAGGACGCTCAGCTGTGGACGTGCCTGGAAGTGAAAGGAAAGTCTGAAGCTGCAAAGAAAAATACTGCATAGGAACCTTGAATGTAAGATCTATGAACCTTGGTAAGCTGGATGTGGTCAAACAGGAGATGGCAAGAATAAACATTGACATCATAGGCATCAGTGAACTAAAATGGACAGGAATGGGTGAATTCAATTCAGATGACCAGTGCCTTCTAGGCAGGTTGAAATGCTGTATGTCTCCCATCTGCTCTTGGGAGAGCATAGCCATACTTAAGCTGAAGATGACTGAGTTAACACATGTGTGCCATGAAATCTCTACATCTGTTGCTCTGGATGGGCTGACCACTTTGATTATGCCATGGGCACATTGTGGGGAGGTGGTTTACTAGGGGAACAATATGCTAGCTTGTTAACAGCCTCCCTCGTTTTCGTTGTTGTTTCATCCTGTTTTATCTTATCGTGTACCTGGTCCTTGACATCAAACCTGTGTCTTGCTGTAAGCATGGTATTAGCTCAATTCACATTTTTGTGGCTGTAGAATTTAGGCAAGGTTGGAGGAGATGCCACGTGCTTCCAGCATGAGCAAAAGGATTACATTCTTGGTGGCCTGTCTAAGGCCCTTCATTATAGCTTACTGTTTTTTGCATGCGTGGTATTGGAAAGACGAAGGGAAGTGATAGCTTACAGAAACAAGGTCAGTTGGGTTGCAGCTGCCTCCAAACAATACAGGCAAGTATCGTGGCCGTCCTGGTGGGGAATTTTGCGGTCGCACACCACACACCTGCTGAACGGCCCTGAAGGGGACATAGGGTAGTAAGGAAACCGAAACGACAAGTCAAGGGATAAGGCAGAGCAGTCCGAAATCAGTCCGAGTAAAGCCAAAAAAATACACCGAGTCGTCAAGTTGAAGGGAAAAAGCGCTAGGGTAGTCCGTGAGCGAAGCTTAGGTCAAAACCAAAGAATCAAATAGATCGCAATAACGCAGCTAAGACGAGAGGCTCCAAACCGCTAGGCGGAAAAATGGAACTGAGGGACGGTTAGGCTGGGCGTGCGCAGTAGGGGTAGTCCTAAACATTGTTACTTTTCTCTTGCAGCTAGAAAATGTTCCGAGAGGCCCAACGCTGGCGCTGGTATTAACCCTTTGTGTGCATTCACAGAAGACCACGATGAAGAATGTGTGTTGTCCCTAAAATATATTGATTCTGGGAACATTAAAAACAGCAATATCCAAGCTTTTAGTTAGAAATGTTTTCATTTTCATTCTGCTGCATATGAGAAATGAGCCCTTGTCTTCTTATGTCAGGACTGCTGGGATGTAATAAATTTAAAAGGTCACCATGTTCTCTTTCCTAGACCATGGCAAATTCTCTGTACCTCCTCCCAGTACAGACTGACCCGCATAACCCAGATTGTACATGCAAGTCCACAGCGACAAAGAGAAGCCATGTCCAGATATTTATACATACAATTCTAGATCCCCTTTGCCTTCAGTGGAACTTTATCCTGAAACTACATCTGAAAAATGCCGTATAGAGAAGATTTGATGAACACAGGAGATCCAGTTCCTCCATTACAGTTCCTCTGTGCTCCATGCTCTTTTTCAGCAAAACACGTTTTCCTACAAGCACTTTCAAGATTAACCAACACATTTATTGTAGCATAAACTTTCGTGCCCTACAGCATCCTTCATCAGACACATGAAGAGTTGTCCAGAATGTCAGGTGATGGGCAGGTTGGGTCATGTGTGGCTGAGGAGGGAAATTAAATGCAGAACGAGTGGACGTGGCAGTTGCCTTATTAGTATGTGATGTTCACTAAACAGCTACTATCCTGGCACTTGGTAAAGCCAGTTACTATCTCTAACATGCTACGAATACATTGCTTGGCTTCAAACCTATGGCCTAGGCTTAAAACGTACTAGTAACTTGTAACATTCTTTGCTACAATATATGTGTTAATTGTGCAGCGGGTCTCTTTGTTCTTTTTGCTGTATTAAACAAAGGTGGTCATCCCTTGGGAAACTGATCCAAAAGGAGTGCATTTAAATTATAAAGGGCAGTGCTGTGTTTACAGGAGCAGGTAATAGATGAAACTTCAGGGCATCCCCAGAAACCCGCACCCCATTTCCCTGCATCCTAGGCCAAAAGTTCTGTGCTTCAGGTGGGCTCTTAAAGCAAAAGGTTAAGAATTATTCTAGCCCGAATGTTCATTTGCATTGCAGATGCTTGTGTTCCTTGCCTTTCTCTTTCTCAGGAACCACCACCAGGCATAAACATGTATAGCCTGGAGGTGGTTCAAGGATCAAAGGGCCCTGATAGGGTAACCTGTAAGTGACTAGTTGCAAGGTCAGTACAATAGTGTAGGAAGGCCTATCTGCTCCAGTCCAGCAGCTGACTCTGCTGATAAGACAGCCCTCATGGGCTGAGATTGCTATTACTCAAGCATAAAACATTTCACTTTCCATGTCCTCAGATGATTCACTAGAAAGCAAAACGATTTGCTATGTAAACATTTGATCAAAGGGCATTTCTGTTCCAGAACTTCTTGAGATCCTTGCTTAGCTCTTTAGTAAGCAACCAAGAGCCATGCAAGAAGAGAAAGGGTGGGGCTTTGCAGGATTCCCCTCTATATCAGAAGCAGGTGAAGGGCAGCCCTCCATATGTTATTGGATTGTGACTCAACACTGGCTGTGCTGGCTAATGGGGTGGGGCTGCAATCCAAAAAAGAGCTGGCAGGCCACATGTTGCCCACTGGTCTGTCATGCTGACGAGAAGAAGCTTATGGCACTTGGGTTTTGTACAGCTTTACTAGGCCCCAGGATGGCTTGTGCGGCAGATACAGGTGGATTGTCTGAGACTGGCAGACAGCCGACTGGTCAGCAGAAACAGCCTGGGGGTGGGGATGAGATGTCTCCAATGTCTCTCCCACCTCTGCGGGCCTGAGGTGATAGCCTTCCCCTCTGCGCCACATAACCTATGGACATTTATTTAGCCTTCCATTCATTTGGTGGTCTCTCCCTCTGGGTTCAGAGCATAACAACAAATTCCTCAAGACCATGAATGGCTTTGAGAAGATGACTTCATAGGTTCCAGAGTAAACAGAGCAATGGAGTCTTTGTTGGTTCTTTTTTTTTTGGAAGAACTTAAGCATATAAAAGTGTCCTAGTTTGAAGACCCTGTTCTCTTAATTCTGCTTTCTTTTCCCCTCTTTCAACACAGTGCACATTTAACACTTCCTTGAAGGTCAGCGCGGAATTGCTCTCGTTTCAAAAGCCTGCTGCCTGCTGGGAAGGACAGCCAGCCGCCAGTTCCAGGTAAATGGAGAGTAATCAGTTTTTCTCTCAGGCAAGTTTCTCCCTGTCACATGAGCGGTGTTCTCTTGTGCCTTAATAACAGTTATTTCTAGAAAATCTTTTATGTGCAAAGACTCCTCCCCCATCTAATTTTTATTTAAAAGAGAGGGAATGACATGCGTACACCTAAAATTATCCTACATTGAACTGTAATTCATCAGTGTCTCTCTTGGCATATTACATCCCTTCATAGATACTGTTCTTTTTCCCTGAAGAAGGGAGGGGAATAATGTTTCACACTCTTGCTCACTTCCAAATGCTACTCTTATTTTGTCAGAAATTTAAGAAGGCAGAACTGACATATCCAAACTTATGACCAAAATAATTTCTTGGGGGGAGGATTTAGTGGGAGAGATTCTGATTTCCAGAAAACATGGCAGCATAAGATAGGAAAGAGTCCAACATCAGTTTTGAACACAAGTATCAATTAAAAGGTATCGATTAACAAATTATCTGTCCTGTAACCCGTTGTCAACTAGCAGCTAGTTAAGTGACTGACACTTCAGTAAATAAAAGAGCGAAAACCTCTTATCCTTTTTTGTTTTCATTCTCTGTTACAGTAACAGACTAGAAGCAGCCTTAATGTCTGTTGCTTAGAAATGGAAACTATGAATATAAAGCCATCCTGCTGTCCATGGAAAATGAGCAAAACTGTCTGCAGAATCAGAGAGAGAGGAGGGTGGCTTTCTAAGTGGAACATGTAAAGGTAAAGGTTCTCCTTGACATTTTTAGTCCAGTCGTGTTCGACTCTAGGGGGCAGTGCTCATCCCCGTTTTTCAAGCCGTAGAGCCAGCGCTTATCCAAAGACAGTTTCCGTTGTCATGTGGCCAGCCTGATTAGGGAATGCCGTTTTACCTTCCCACCGAGGTGGTACCTATTTATCTACTCGCATTTGCATGCTTTCGAATTGCTAGTTTGGCGAGGCGCTGGGACAAAGCGACGGGAGCTCACTCTGTCGCGTGGATTCGACCTTACGATTGCTGGTCTTCTGACCCAGCAGCACAGGCTTCTGTGGTTTAGCCTGCAGCGCCACCACGTCCCTAGCAAGTGGAACATGGGCTTCTTGTAAATGTTATGGAGTATGTGGACTATCCCTGTTCTGCTGTCATGTGCAGTACAAACTCACACCTGAAGAGCTGAAGATGCAGTGGTTAGTGATAACTGTTGAAATATTGGCACAAATCATGCCAGTACTCGTGGCCATTCCCTCAAAGGAGACTCTAAAAAAATGCAGGCATCTGGGTTGATCCACACCAACAAACTAGTCAAGAGTTTTCAAGTCCACCAGCAATAGTTCTTTGGTTTTTGTTTAAAACTACTACTTGGTCTTAATTGCCTGCACAAGGCCAACCCATCTCCAGATGCTAAACTTGTCCACACAAAGCCAGCTACCTTCAAAGACTAAACATAGGCACGATACCTCACAACAAATATTATCAGTGCAATAAAAATCAATTTTCCTTCCATTTACTGTAGGGTGTGCAGCTGAAGTCAGAGGAAGGGACAGGGAAGGAAGATAACCCTGCTAATGAAAGAGTTCTTTTGCTTTGACCTGGTGAGCCATGACGTGGCAACCTCCCCACAGGAGTGGGTCTTTGCCTCTGGGCGCTCGATAGGAATGTGGGGCTGCTGTTGTTATGATGTGGCAGCCTGCCTGATGTTGTCTGCCCCTAGCGACCAAGGGAGCTCTGCCCTTGTGTTGTTCAGCACCCAGTTTTTTGTTTAGGTGCATAAATAGCAACAATAGGTACTGAGAACATTAGAAGGTGGAAACAACTTCAGCACCCAGATACTTCTGCAGATGACATGCACACACCAATTATATTTTCTGTGGCAAGTGGTATCTCAGTGCAGTTCCCATGGAATGCCGGATGAACTCTTAACTTGGTTCTAAGCTGGCCCCCTCTGCTTAGCTTCAACAACATACGAGACATCTTTTCATTCTGTCTTTTCACCAAGGAGTTCAAAGTAGCTTACAGGGTGTTTCTGCTATCCCACATCCTTGCAAAAACCCTGTGAGATGAGTTAGGCTAAGAGGCTCAAGATCACCCAGGAAGATTTATGAGTGCACACAGATCTCCACTGTTGGCACCACACTAACTGTTACTGAGTGCTTCCAGTTCGTTAACATCTGCACGCAGATCAGCCATGGGTGTTCTTTGCCCACCCTATTTGCTATGTGATCCACTACAGATGGCCATGCATGTCTACAACCACTTGTTTTGGGCTGTGTGCATATTTTGAAACATGGCTATATCTGGACTCAGTCCAAGATGTATACAAGTCAAAGCCAGTTTGGAGCAGGAGTTTGCCTTTGCTTCTGTTACCTCTTCTGAATGTTGCGTCTTTTGCCGTATGTGATTTCATTCAGCTAAACGAGCTGTTGAAATCAGGAATCTCTTAACGAACCAAACATGGATTTTCAACTCAGTTATAGATTCTTCCATTTAGCAATTCCCTTCTTTTTCCGTTTTGGTTTCTTTGCTATTGAAATGAGCAACCAGCTTTATGGGGGTCTTGGTGGCTCCAGCTAATTTTTATGGGCCCCATGATTTGTGTGTGTGTGGGGGGGAATACTAGTATTCCGAATAACAGTGTTATTCAAAGAGGCAGTGGTAAGATCTTTGCTTGCAATATCTCCCTGAATGCCACCCTACTGGATAAGTACTGACTAGTCTCCAGTATTTTGTTTTTGGGTGAGACACTAGAGCATTTAGTGGCTTCTCAGCTCCAGGAGTTTCTGGATAAAACAAACTTTCTGGATCCATTTCAGATGTAACTGTTCTATAGTTCTGAACCCCAGGTTTTTTATGCTATGTTCTGATTTTGTAGCTATAATAATGACAGTAATGACATTTGCCCAAATTTTCGTTCAGTGTTAATGCTACAAGTCTGTCCATTCCTGAAATTGAACTTTAGATTAAAAGTCAAAGGTGAACATAAAGGCTTCACTTGATAAAAGAGAAATAGGGGAAGGGACAACTATGCAGTGTGGAAAATTTTCAGAAAATTTTGCAGTGGTCAGTTTGTCAATGGCTAAAAAGGAATTATTCCATAAAATGCATCTATGTTTGTGTGTGTGTGGGGGGGAATACTAGTATTCCGAATAACAGTGTTATTCAAAGAGGCAGTGGTAAGATCTTTGCTTGCAATATCTCCCTGAATGCCACCCTACTGGATAAGTACTGACTAGTCTCCAGTATTTTGTTTTTGGGTGAGACACTAGAGCATTTAGTGGCTTCTCAGCTCCAGGAGTTTCTGGATAAAACAAACTTTCTGGATCCATTTCAGTGTTATTTCAGTCCTGGTTATGGAGAGGAGACAACCTGGTTCAGCTTGGTAGATAATCTGTACTGGGAACAGAATAAAGGAGCGTAGGTCTTTCATTGGTAACTGCTGGAACTCTCAGAAAGACTGAACATTACTGACCACAGTGTCCTTCTGGATCACTTCTTTGGGCACTATTTTAAGATGGCTTCAGGACTTCCTAGAGGAAGACCTTAGAAAGTGGTGCTGGCCCTCTGCTTATGGTGCCCCTCAAGGTCTCATCCTATCCCTCAGGCTATTAAACATCTACCATGAAACCCTTAGCAAAGGTTGTCTGGAGTTTGCAGATTTGGGGCACCAGTATTACAGATGGTGCCCAACTCTTAGATGTGCTTTTTATCTGAATCTGAGGAAGCTGTTTGTTTCCAAAGCAGTGCTGGATGTCTGCAATTAGCTAGATGAACAAATTGATACTTAATCCAGAGAAGACAGATGTGCTCCAGGTTAGTCAAAAGGACTGTTAAGGGATATGAATTAACATGTGCTGTATGGGATTAAACCCCTGGATCTCAGGCATCCATGTTTCGGTGGTGTCTGGGATTGTGTATCAACAAGTATGGTTAGTGTACCAGCTCTGCCGATTCCTGGAGATGTCTAATATGAATACATGGATAAATGTTACTGCTTGCTTGGGTTATGGGAACACTCCATGTGGGAACTGCCTTTAGAAAGTGTGGGAATTTTCAACAGGTCTAAAGAGGTACAGACAGGTTGTTGACCTATGCCAGTTACATGCAGTACAGAAATTGATTGTTACAACAGCGTCACAGGCTACCAGTTCATTTCTAGACACAGTTCCCAATGTTAGTTTTGACCTATAAGTGACTTGAGATCCAACTAGGTAAAGGATTGCATCTCACTATTTGAGGGTATGGCTACATTAGTGACAGGGAGCGAGTTAATGTGAGCTGTTTTGGATTGCTCGAGTTGGATTAGAGCGATCTAATCAAGCCTTCCTGTTTGTATGGAAATTGCTCCAGACAATATAGTGAAGTGGTTTAATAAGTGAGCCACTTTAGAATATTGGCGAATTAATCACTTCCTCTTTTCCTCAGCGGAGGGGCAAGAGAAGTGAATTTTTTAAACTGTTCATATGGACTGTTGCTGATTTGCTGTATCATTTGTAAAAAACATATTTTCTTTGTCTTCACTTAAAGGACCAGTGAAGAAACTGAAGCCACCAGCATGGATTTGATTGTGGGCAATTTCTTGACCTGTCTTTTAAAACAAAGCAAAGAAAATATTTTAATTCTTTTAAAAGAAAGATGCAGTGCATCAGTCCATATACATTTTTTTTTTAAAAAATGTATATGGTTCTGATAAGCAGAACCATATATCTGCTTCTGATAAGCAGAATAACTGATTAATTTGCCAATACTGTATTCTGAAGTGGCTCACTTATTAAGTGACTTCTCAGTAACGGCAAATTGACTCAGGAAGGCTTGCTTTGGATTGTTTCCAGCAATCACATGAGCTGTAACCAATCCAAACCCAAGCAGTCCTACGTGCACCAAAAATGTAGACGCCCCCGACAGGAGCTCAGAAAGTTACAGAAAAGACTGCTCTAGAGGCGGTCTGATTCACTCCAAAAAAAACGAGTAAGAGAGACATCATCTGATCCACATCTAAAGCAG